TCAGGAGTTCTTACCTGTCGGGATCCTTCGGGAAACGGTGGAAGGCCAGGTGCGGGGTGTTCCACTGATAGTTGTTGCAGTTAATTGCACTACACTGTTTTCTTTTACTTTTTTTCTCCTCTCTTGACATCTTGCATGTTGTCTGGGCGCAACAGTCCAAGCTCAACAGTCCAAAATGGCGGCAGCGCCCCTAGTGGCTGTCGAAACGGCGCTTCGCCTCTTGGTATCCATGCTCTTTGCTTCAAGTCAATCTGTCTCACTGTGTGGGGGGCGTGGCCTTGAGATGAATCCGAGCTGACCCAGGAACAGGCACAGCTCCTCCAGCTGTGATGTCACAAACATTTCATCACATCCAAAAAACCTCTGAGTCAGCAGATGATGAGCACGCAGCGTTCACAGCCACCCCAGAAACATGTGGAAATTTAATAATGAACAGAGTGGAAAAAAACTTTGACTTTAAATCTCAGCAGCGGAAAGTTTTAATTCAGCAAGAAGAAACTTTAAAGTTTCAAAGTTTCCTCTCTGATTCATTAATGAAGCTCAAGATGGAGGTCACTACACAACTTTAGCTCACTGTTTACAACTAAAACAAACAAACCCAAAACAAATAAACAAACAGACCTGAAACAAACAAACAAGCAGACCTGGGGGGTGTTCCAGAAAGCAGGTTCAGTGAAAACTCTGGGTGTGTTAACCCTGAGATGAGCGACACTCTGGGTTTTCAGCTCCAGACAGAGAGGTAAGTCAAACTCTGAGTCCATCACCATGGCAACTGACTCTGTGAACCTAACCTGCTCACTGACAGGTTTTCTATAAGAAACCCTGAGTTCACCCTGTCTCCTCCCTACTGCTGAGCCTGAAGCAAGCTGGCAGACACACATGGGTTGTTCGTATGTAGGCAGAATTAATTGAATTGAACCGTACTGTTTTTCATTAGACTCCGGTTCTTGGGTATGATAGTTTTTAAAGGATTCAAATTTCACCATCTATTAGCAAGGATTCTTTTTTAATATTTTTTTTTT